CTTAATCGAGAGCTACAAAAAATGGAAGAGGAATATAGAATAGCATATTGGTTTCTGCCTTTTATAATAAGCAAACAAAACCATAAAAAGGAAGCGCAGGAAAAACAGACGGAGAGCTTCACGCGGCTACGCAATTCCGCGGAGAGAGGAGAAGACGCGGGATTAATTTGGGAAAGCAAACTAAGCAAATTTAAGCTTTCCCTAATCCACGAATCCAGAAGAAAAACTGTCCAAATAGAATAGTGGATCGGGCTCCACCTAACTGAACAGAAAAAACTCATCCTTACCAAATGTGTTTGGATATCCCAACTAAAACATTCTTTAAAGATATAGGGATATGAATGGGTAATTTAAAGAGAAAACAAACATTTAATTCTTATTTATTTTTGTTAATGATTGAAGATATTAATTAAATATTTGAGGATAATAATTTTATTTGACTTCTTTCTCTTGCGCCACACTAATAGTCAAATTAACATTTCAAAATTCATAAAGATGCACCATATGACATGCTTTATTTTTTTAATAATAAAGAGTGAATTAATCATAAATCGTGTAATTTGAATTAATATATTTGACAAAATAACATTCTCAAAGTCACTCCAATATGCAATTTGGTTGGCACAAGGTGATCATAGGCACCATTTGATAGTTAACTTTTGGGACATGCCAATCACAAACTCTTGCAACCATAACTAATCAACAACCTCATCTTTCAATTACTAGCTCTTTTTCTTTTTGTGAGTCAAGTACTATATCAAAAATTAATCGTCTGCCTTTTTTTCAACTCATTTTACTCAATGTAATCCCATAGAACTTATACATTCCGATGTTTAAGGATCATCCTCTACACTATTTATTCAAGGTTATGGATACTGTGTGTTATTTGTTGACGATTCTACTCATTTTTCCTAGCTTTATCCTATGCATCACAAGTCTGAATTTCTATCTCATTTTATAAAATTTAAACAGCTTGTCAAACTTCAATTCGAGAAGCAAATAAAAAATTTAAAAACTAATAAAAAATTTAAAAACTAACTGGGCGGTGAATACAAGAATTCACAATTCAATATTTTTCTACTATCTCATGGTATTCATCATCAAACAATCTGACCCTAAACACCAGAACTGAACGGAATTGTTGAAAGAAAACATAGAAGCATACTTGAGACACGTCTAACTCCAACCTTTCCCCTTCATTTTGGCTTGAAAGAACGATTACAACACTTTACCTCATTAATCGCCTACCTTCAAAGACCACCTCACAGTTTTCACCATATCAACTGCTAAATGAAAACCCCCCCAAATTATAGTCACCTACAAACATTCAGATGCATCTGCTTTCTTTGGATTCAACCACCTCCACGCAACAAACTTCAGCCAAGGTGTGTCGCTTGCATTTTTCTCAGAAATCGTAAAAATACAATAGACTACAAATGTCTTAATGTTGCCACCGGAAAAATACATATATCCCGGCATGTTACCTTCAACGAGTCCTCATCCCCTACAGCAAACTTGCTATCAATAATCCACTGCCTTCACATACAGCTTCGCCACCCTTCACACTTCACCCTTCGCCCTTCGCCCTTCGCCCTTCGCCCTTATATCTACCTCAATCCCATCTTAGCCACCCATCACTACAATGTGAACTGCCTCTCCACCTCCACGAATACCCTCCTCACCTATACAGCCAGTCAAATCTCCACCCAATACACAACCCTCCCTCCAAATTCCCCCACCACATCCCATGATTACAAGATCCAAAACTGGTTTTATTCTAACCAAAAATATCTTTGATCTCTTGCACCTTTCTCAACCTAAAATCAAACCCCTCATCTACAAGCTAGTAACCCGATATCCCCATTGTCAACATGCTATTGCTGACGAAATAACAACCCTCAAAACTCAGAATATTTGGGTTCTCGTCCCTCCCCCCATTGATCAACCAATTCTAGGCAGCATATAAAAGTTCAAAATCAAACAAAATTTTGACGGTACTATTGTGTGATATTAGGCAAACTTGTGGCTCAATTTTTTCAACAAGAATACATCTTAAATTACACTAAAACTTTCAGTCCAGTGGCAAAGTTACCCACCAATTAAGTCCTTCTCACTATTGTTCTCCATCATCAGTGGCAAGTACTTCAGAAGGATGTCTCCAACGCCTTCCTCCACGGCAACCACAACAAAACCATATTCATGCATCAACCATCGGGATACTCAAATCCATCCTATCCAAACGATGTGTCATCTTTAAAAATCTCTCTACGGTCTTAAACAAGCACCTCGCCAATGATTTGACGCATTTTCCTCTTGCCTGACGCATGTTCCTCTTGCCTGACGCATTTTGGGTTTCAACTGAGCCAAGTTGATTTGTCCTTACTCATCCACAATCACAATTTTCACACAATATACCTTCTTTTATACGTAGATGATATCCTCCTAGCAGGAAATGATCAGAGCATGATATAAAAACTCATTCAAGAACTGCACAATGCTTTAATGATGAATCTCATTGGCCCGGTCTCCACCTTTTTGGGTATTCAAATTCAGCACGCCACATATAAGTTCCATTTATCCCAAAGCAGCCCCCTGAACCACAGTCACCCTTTCCCAATCCCGCTCAGTTCAAACACCTCGTTCATAAAGATGCACCTGCAGCTCAACACACCATTAGGCTTCACAACTCTGAATCTCAACCACAGACCTACAACCTCCAGAATCTATCTCAGCCGTCCAACAAGAACCTAGATCTTGTCCTTTTCTTTGTATCAGTTTATGTTTATGGTAGGCAGCTGCTGCATTCCTGCTCTCCTTCTTCTTTTTCACTTCTGCGATTATGTTTCTTGTCTTCATTTCTGTTTCTATTCGTTCAGGGTTTCGTTGATTTCCTAGGTTGATCAAATGCTTAGGTTAATCCAACCGGATTTGATTGACTAGTTGGCTTGGGCTAGTGGACTAACCAAGTTTAACTTAGATGCTATGACTCAATCCAAAAATAGGCATCCCCATCTGGATGATAGAAATGATTTTTTTTTTAGTCATATAAGAAAGATTTCTCAAATTAACAGAGGTAATAATCTACCATGCAAATAATTCTAAATTTGTGAAAACACGTATATGAAATCAAATTTGTAAAAACCATGAAAGACATCGATAACCAATTTAAAAGGCTTGGACGATAAGAAATAAGAAATATATCTTTACATTAAGCGGCACTTTGGTAGCAGGATTTGAGCAGGATTTAACCAAAATCCTGCCAAAAAAAAACAAAGAAAAAATAACTTTAAATCCTGCAGAATCCTAAATCCCCTTTCTCCTCCGTTCCCTTGAATCCCAAATCCAGCTGTTAGGCCGATTTACGGGGACCTACACAAACTGAAGTACGCGAACAAGTATGGGGGAAGGACGGCGATTACCTTCGCTACTTCGTCGAAACCCTCTTCCTGTGCACGCCGCTGGCCCCGTCAATTCCTTCTCTAGCTCGCGACCACCAGATTTCGGCAATTTGGATGGGAGCGAAAGAGCGGCGAGGGATGCTGGCTTTATCACTTTACGAGCAAGTATTTCTAATTTCGAAGTATTGGTATTTGTGCGTTTTAATTAAAAAGAGAGAAATAGTTTATAAAGTAAAAATATTCTCCTCAACTAAAGTTATGTTCGAAATTCACTAATATACGGATATATGTAGGTGATAAAAAAATTAAAAAAAATTTATTTTGAAGTTGAGAGATACTTCTACCTTGTTATTTCGCATTATTCAGGTGTTATTATGGTGATATTCATGTGTTATTTAGCTCTGAAAATATTATCGACGTTAAAATAGCATAATAACACATCAATTACACTACAATAACACAAGAGTAATATTCTTCTGTATTACCGGGTTAGATCACAGAAAAACGTGTGTGTTTTCTTGAAGTCACGTGTCTGCTTATCAGTGAATACCGAATGTAACTCTACGTTAGGAGTCCCGATGTAATATTTTTCTAGTTTTTTAATTAATGTTATTTGAAATTTTATTTAACATAGCAAAAATCATTACATTTAATTAATTTTATAAATTAGTATTAAATAATTTGTTTAAATGCTACCTTATACTAATTATAATTCACACTCTCTAATAGTTTTAATAAGTCTCTAATAGAATTTATGATTGTTGCGTGAAAGAATTTATTAGGTTAGCATTAAAGGTTTTAGGCAAAAATATAGAAAGAGAAAAAATACAAATTAATGTATTAATTAATCTGTAATTAATAGTACAATTTTAGTTAATGATTAGTTTAATTATTAAGATAACTTATTAATGATTAGTTAAGTAAAATAGAAATATGTATAAGAGATTCATTATTTTACTCAAGTTCTTATTAATGGTTAATTCGCTTAATAAATACTTAATTGTTGATTAGTATTATATGAAGTGATAAAATTTTTAAAAATTAAATTATTATTTACTATTGCATAGTTATTATGTCAGTTTAGGTTCATATTTAAACTAATAAATTTAAATCTTCAATAATTTACCAAACATGTTTATCTTAATTGGGTTTAAGACCTCTTATGCCAAACAATTTAAAGATTTAACCATCTTAGAATTTACAAAATTTAGATTTACAGGATTTGCTAAATCCTACTTGTAATCAAACAGCTTCTAAGAAAATAAAAATTAATATGAATAATATTTAAATATATTTTACATTAACTTTAATGCGAATTTACTGAAGAAAACCTCATTATTGGCAAATGAGTTTGGATAATCCCACTAAAACATCAATTGAATTAGAAATTTGTAATTTGAGTTAGTTTATTTGAAAAGATGACATTCCCTAATAGGCATAATATATATTATAGACAGGCATTGATGCACATATGACACAATTCATGTATTTACATGTCTAATACCTACAAATTTATATATAGACATATAGCACTAAAATCCTTAACATTACATAAAAAATATCACTATTACTTTCTTTTTAAAAGTGGATTGCATCTTTTCATGCATAATTTTAAGACTCAAAAATGTTATAAATATAAATATGAAAGTTTATGTGTTGAAACATGAATACATAAGAATTATATGGCATACATGCAAATTTCTCTTATTGATATATATATAGGAACCTGAACCTCATGTTTTTCATCATTACTTTACATCAATATGAATGTGTATAGACATATTAACTAAGTTGGGTGACAAATAAATTAATCATACACAATCATCTTAATTACCTTTTCTATTGTCTTCATTGCAATCATAATTTTGAATTTGGTTGCTAACTTAGGCAGACAATAGGTTTAATTTAATCCAATTAGTTTTGATTGAACAGTTACCTTGTGTGAATGGATTGACCCACTTTAACTTAGAAATCATGACTTTAATCAAGGGATGGGATTCACCATTTTTTACGGAAATGGAAGAAGTGTTTTATTATTTTTATTAGAAAGATTTATTTGCATTAACAATGTTACTTAAATCTATCATGAAAATGCCCCTACACTATTTTATAAATTTTGATTATGATTTAATAATTAGTATTTATGGGCATTTATTAAAGGAGAGATGTTAATTTAACCTTTTTTCAATTTTAGTAGTTAATATTAATTTATCTAGGAACTTGGGGGTATTTGGTTTGTCAAAAAAGAATGTTGAGTCCAAAAGAATGCAATAATAATAGATATGTTTGTGAGTGTGCAGTCATTTTTACTCAAATATCGTTTTTTTTATTTAATTTGGCTTAAAATGAAATTAATATAAAGTTGAACGATGGATATCAGTTGGCAATGCCAGTTGGAAGTGATGGTTGGATTGGGGCAGCAAATTTTAAAGTTGAAGTGTGTTTGAAAATTAGACAATTTTTAAATTTACAAAAGTCAACCTAAACGATGAGTTTTGAATCCACAAAAGGTTTGTACTATAAAAAGGTTAAAAAAACAATAAAAGATAGTTATGTACTATATTTCTTTTTAAGGATCTTGTTAATTCCTTGAATCATTTTCTTCTTCTTATTCTACTTATTTGATTGCTTTGTAACATTAATACTTTTATTAATGTACCGCTAAGATAATATTTGAATTTGTGATGGCAAGGTATTGCGCCTATATAAAGATAGGCTTGTGAATTATTGTTGGAGTTCGGTAGAAATGGTTTTCGGGGATGTCATTGGGCTGCATGTTGGTTTACAATCAGCCAAACTTACTTTGTTTAGAATGACGGTTGGGTGATGAGCTTGGTTGAGGAAGAGGCTGGCTAATGTATGTAGGATGTGGATGTCGAGGAATGCGGTGAGCGATCCCAATATTTTTATAGAAAAGTTGTGTTTGAGATCGAAATTGTTGCCATTGACCAAGATAGCATCAACGTAGAATGGTGAGTAGGAGTGATGATGATATATGAGGAGAGAGGGGTCTGTTTGGCTTTTGTGAAAACTAAGATTAAGTAGATGACCCGTGAAAGTATTGAACCATTAACGTGGTGATTGTTTTTGCCATTAAATAGCCTTTCGTAGTTGGCATGTGTAATGGTGCTTGTGTTCATCTGAATATATCGGGGGTCGACGCATGTAGATGGTCTCCTGAAGATCACCGTGAAGGAATATGTTGGAGACATTTATATGCAAAATTGTCCAATGACTTTGAACTAATATTGTTAGGAGAGTTTTAATTGTTAGATGTCTGGCTACGAGGATGAATGTGTTTGTGTAGTGTAAGTTGTATTCTTGTTGATAGCCTTGAGTGACCAAGCGAGCTTTGTACTTGGCTATGGTTCCATCAGGTCGACACTTAATCTTGTATGTCCACTTACTGCCAAAAATGGACTGATTTGGTGGAGATGGGACTAGGTTCCATGTGCGATGATTGTGAAGTGCGTCAAGTTTTGCTTGCATGGCCTATTGCCAATGAGAGCATCGAGCAATTTCTTAAGGCGGTAAAGTGCTCACGGTTTAGGATTTGTTTAGGTTTGAGAAACCTAGTTCTATATCTAGTAATCATGGGATGAGAAGTTGGTTTAGGAGTTGTAGGTAAGTAAGGGGTTGTGGCTGGGGAGGAGTTTGATTTTAGTGGTGTGAAGAGACTTTTTTGTGGCTATAGGCAACAAGGAACTGGGTGATGAGGAGTTCAGTGTGTTCAAGGAAATTGAAATTTGTAGTATAGGCTGTGTGGAGCAGATGGGGAGGGAGATGGGAAGGAGTGTGATTTGTGTTTGAATGAGTGTGAGAGTGGAGAGGAACTTGTTTGATGTTGGAATTATTTGTAAAGCACATTGAATGTGACGTGCCAGGATATGATAATTTTGTCGGTTTGAGGATAAAAGAATTTATAACCTTTGAAGTTATCGAGATAACCAAGAAAATCACATTGCTAGGATCATTGGTCTAATTTAATGTGATGTGATGGAGGGAACCGAGGGAAGCACGCACATCCATATGATCTCAAACTTTCATATGCCAGTGGTGTTTGCAGAGGAGGTGATGGGGAGAGGTATTTCGAGTGTTGGGGGATAGTGTATGGTTAATTAAATAAACAACTATAAGTACAATATCGGGTCATAATTTTAGCGGTAAGTTAGATGCGACTAATAAGGTTCTTGTTATTTCAAGTATGTGGTGGTGTTTTTTTTCCAACGATAAAGTTTTGTTGTGGTGTGCATGTGCATGAATATTAATGAATTATGCCTTGGTTGGCCAAGAATTCATAAACTTTTGTTTTTTGTATTCCCATCCACCGTCGAATCTTAGAATTTTAATATGTGTTGAACTATTTTTTAACTTGATGATGAAATTTAATGAAGTGAGTTAGAGTATCAGATTTGTGGGTCATTGGAAACAACAATGTGTATCTAGTGGGATCATCAACAAATTGACATAAAATTAATAACATTGATTAAAATTATGTTGGGATTGCCCTTACACTTCAATGTGAACAAGTTCACAATGGAGATACATATGATTACTACAAGAAATGAAAGCTAATATATGTTTTTTAGCTGCACTACATGAATTGCAAAATGAATTAAAACTAGGAATTCAAAGATGAGGATGTTGATTAGCTATAGCACTAAGTGTGTTGTTACTGGGGTGACGGAGTCGATAGTGTCATATGTCAGGAGTGGTAGCTCTTGATAATAGGGCTTGCTTGCAGATGGGGATGAGATAGAGCCCCTCATGGTAGAATCCTAGTAGGAGTATTTGTTTAGTTGTGTGATCCATGATTTGGTGTCCGGAGACATCAAACACAGTGGTACAATTGTTATCAGAAGCAAGTTGAGATATCTAAATGAGATTGTGAGTAATTTGTAGAGTTTTAAAAAATTTGGAGAGGGAAGCTTACAAGTGGGAGCGAAGAGGATTACTTGACTATTGTTTTGGATAGAGATGACACTTCCATTGCCAACAAAATCGTGTTCTTGCCGTTGGTATGACTATGAGTACTGTAGATTATCGATATCAGCTATCAGATGGTTTGAAGTTCTGGAGTCAACCCACCATTTCTGATTTGAGGTGGGCACGATAATGAGAGTTGGTGTTCGAGGTTTTGTTGATTGTTTAGGCTAGTAGTTGAGATTTGAGGTGGGTTTGAAGTTCTGTTGATTGCATAGGCTAGTGGTTGAGATTTGAGCGATGCTAGCACTGAGGGGCGAGATGGCAGTGTTCGAGGTAGATTTGTTAGATGACAACATTGTTGGGTTTGGAAGATTTTGATTGCCTTTGCTTGAACCTCTGTAGAAATGATTAGTGCTACCCCTTCTTTTGTAGTTATTGTGGCTGTGTTTCCTTTAGAATATAGTGTCATGTGGCGATCCAATTGCTTTGCTTGGGTGAAGTTGTCGTTGAAGATGTAGATCTCTTCGTTATGAAGAATATAATACAAATCTTTGAGGTTGATCAACGATATGGAGGTTTTGTCTGTTGTTTTGAGTATTCGATAAAGTGGGGGTAGTCCTTTATGGATGTAAAGGATAAATCCTTTAGTGTCCACCGATGATCTGGATGCAGTGATGTTATCCATTAGCCCTTTAATTTGGGTAAGATATTATGAAATTATTTTATTTTTCATTGTCACATTGTGGAGTTCATCCTTTAGCATAAATAACCGCTAACAATTAGTAGCTTGTAAGCATTTCTCAAGCACTCCCCAAATTTCATTGCAACTGTCCAGATTGATTACGTAGGGTAACATAGTGGTTGGCATTATGGAGAGTATGGTTGTGGCTAAATATGATCTATAAGAGTCCATGCGCTGTGAGCCGGGTTAGAAATAGTTGTCCCTGCATTAGTTGTTATGATGGCGGGAGGTCTTGGAGTGGAACTATCAATGAGTCTGCCAAATTTGTTCGCTTTGATTAGCTTCAACGCCTATGATTTCCACAATGGATACTTTTTGGTGGACAATGAGATGTTTGAAACATATTTGATGTTTGAAACCATAAATTTTAGGGAATTGAGCAACAACATATTGTCAATCTTTAGAGCGGCTAGGTTGTCGCTTAGAATAGAGTTTAGGGAGTCCTCCATGATCACCGTAAGGCTCATTCTTCGATACCATATAAGAATGTAATGTGAAGCAGGTAAAGTAAAACACATAAGTTACCACGAGAAAGAAAAACATAAAAGAAAGCTGCGATATTCTCTATTATGTAAGAAAGGTTTACTGCTTATGGGAAATTATGCCTCTTGTCTCTACCACAAGTGTAGCTAACAGTTACATGTATATAAGAGTGTAATGGATTATTCTAGAGATTATAAGTTGGAGTTCATAGAAGTAAAAACACTTGGCTGGTAGTAGAGACCGACTGGGTATTGTATGCAATTTATTATTAGATTGTTAATCGCTTAAAAATTGATTCAAATTTTAGCTCAAATCAATATTAGATCAACATAAATGAGCCGAGCCATGAGTTGAAATTGAGGATCAATTTTTTTCGAACCAATAACAGATCAACTTGAACTGGATCAAGATCGGCTGTAAAATTTTTTTATTTATAAAGATTATATGTCATGTAAATAAAAATAAATATAACAAGCTACAAGCCGATTTTAAAGTTGGAGCTGGTCCAAATAACTAGATTTGAGCCATTTTGTTTTGATTTCGAGCTAATTTTGAGCTGAAATGGATTCAAATAACTCAAATTTGAATTAAACCTGTTTCAAATTTGAGCCAAAATCAATTCAAATAACCCAAATTTGAACCAATTCTATGCAGGATCAAATTTGATTCAATTTTGAACCAAGAGCACAAGTTTTGATCGGAACTCTAGTAGTCGGACGCTGGGATTTTTATTTGGAAATATTTGGGAAGTTGGTCACGGGTGCAGTACGTTCGGTCTCCGATACTGGAAAAATTATTATATCATAACACCTAATCTAAATTTGCTACTAGTGAACCTAAATTACTATGTGACAACTCGACTTAAAAAATCCTATATGTTAGAGAACCTAAATTACCATGCCACTCTCTATTACTGGACAATGAATATATCAATTGTTCTCCTGCAATAATTTCTAGCTTTGCTCGAGCGTGCCAAGTTAATTTTTACGAACAGTCGTATGTTCCGTGGAAAGATAACATTTTTTTTTTTTTTGAAAAATATATTTTTTTTGGGAAAATAAATGAAAGAACATGATTTGCTTCGTGGTCTGTATGATCCGTAGTGAACTTTTTGTATGATCCGCTTAACTTTTTGTATGATCAGCAGTGAGCTCAGCTTCGCTTTCAGCTCGATAAATGGGATGCCGTTGATAGATCACGCTCCAAAGAATCGTTCACTTTATTGTCTTACCAGTGTTAGTGGCAGTGACACTCACAGCTTTCTTCATTCTTCCAGCGCTGATGGCGGCCACTGCTGTCTCGTTGGCGGGCAGGACCGCATTGGACCCCTGCAATCTGCTCTCTATGAAATTTGCACGGAAGACTGCGCGCTTCCACGTGAAGGCTTCTTCCGCACATTCCACTGTTACCGAGCTTAAGGTTTCCATCTCATACGCTCTCTCATTCCTCTAGATCGTCGATTTACTTAGGGCTAGGGTATTGCAGATTAAGTCCATTCCTACGAAGCCAGTGGAAGGGCAGAAGACGGGGACCAGTGGTCTCAGGAAAAAGGTTTAGTGGAGCAATTTCCTGCTATGTTGCTGGAGCGATTTTTTTCATTGTTAAATTGATGAAGAAATCTATTATTCCATTGTGTCGCTTGCGATTCTAGGTGAAGATTTTCCAGCAGGAGAATTACTTGGCAAACTGGATACAGGTTTTTTGCTTTGCTTTTTCTTCTTCAGTTTGTGTGTTGATACTGGATTTGTGGAGTGAGAGTGATAAAAAATTGATTTTTGATGTGCACTTTTCTGATCGCAGGCACTCTTCAACTCTTTGGACCCGGGGGATTTCAAGGATGGACTGCTTGTTCTTGGAGGCGATGGGCGGTATTTCAACCAAGAGGCCGCACAGGCATACTATTTTTTTCTTAACTAATGAGCCTTAGGATTATCTACACCAGTATGTTTATGTTCGCTGCTTGTGAAATACAGCTCATCATTAAGATTGCTGCGGGCAATGATGTTGGGAAGATTCTTGTGGGCAGGTTGGGAATTTGATTCCTCTGTGTACTTGATCCAATGTTCTGCTTAGCTTGGCACGTTTTACTTGTTCAATGCATGTTGCTGTCTTATTTCAATCTAGCCACTATCCATTTCGCTTTCTGTTTTAGTCTGCCTAGCAATATTCTGATTCCTCTCCTCTTCTCATTTATAGCAATTTAAATTTTGCTTTTTTTATAATTTTTCTCAGGAAAGCTACTGTTTTTCTTGCGACTTGGAGGTAATATAGTCATTGAGTGTAGCAGTAAAGGACATGATTTAAATTTTGTGCTTTAGATGTTCTGAGGTGGAATCCTCAATTGGCCTAATGAAGTTGCTTTTGCCTTCAATTTTTGCTGTTTAGATTTTCATTTGTATCAATGACTTTGTCTCCTTGTAGCCTTGTTATGTCGTGAAGTTGTGCCTTGACGTTAACCTCTCACACACAATCTTTGATTCTTCCCCTCCCCATGCTACTTTCTACCGTTCCATCACTGTCGCCCTTAAATCAAATAGATAGTTTGGATTTGACAAAGTATTTCAATTTGAGCAATAATTAGTTGCCTGTATTCCTGAGTGACAGGGGTGAGCTTTCTACTTTTGGTGGTTTGAGAGAGTTAGGTTTGAGCTGCAATTAGTTTACATTGTCATTGTCTTGATTTGATTATTTGCCTGACCCTGAGATTGCTAGGCTTGCAAACAATGGCTTTTTTGGGTTATTACTGGATGGACTCGGTATAATGTATTTTCTTGTGCTAATTAGGCAAATGAAGGGTCGGTTTTTGTACATTGTTTGGAGGATTTGAGAAACACAGAGTAATTACTACCATGTTATTTGAGTATTTGATGCAGATACTAGGCACAATCAAAAATATTTTTGGCCAAGGCAGAGGATATTTAGAAGGGAATAGTCAAACTGGTCAACAGGTGTGCTACTTGCTGCCTTTGCCACCATTTATAATAGAAGTTGAAAGCAAAGGCAGCTTCACTAGAAAAGCATTGGACTCCTTATCAAAAGACCAAAACAATTGAAGGACAAAATCATAATGTCCCCTACTCTCCAGACTCAACGACTAAATTGTTTTCTAGCTATAGGACATGCTGTAGCTTACTCAAGAAAAATAAAGAGTTAAAAAACTTGTGGTGTGATAATCAAAAAGAGGTAATGAGTCAAAATATTTCTAAGGAAATCAAAATAGAAAGCAATATGTGGAGTGCCTTCTTGCTGCATGACAATTTCTCCTTTGACTCCACATTGTGAAAATGGCAAAAGATACATGGTATCCCGTAATTATTTGTATACTATATTTCTTTATTCGTAATGCCTGGGGCGCTGTTTTTCTTGTCAAATAAGCTTGCTTTAAATTGCTATTTCATTGTTGGAAGTCACCATGGACCAAGAAAGGTAATCAATATTATTTTCAATTTGTAAGGGAAAGGTGGTAGAAGATAGAATGCTTATCTCTTAATTTTGCCTTGATGGATCACATTTAGAGTATGCAAGCCAAGAACATAAGCTTAATGCTTTATCTAAGAAAAATTCTGAACTTCCTTTTTTAGATTGATGGCATGAAAGAATCTATGCATTGTGGAATTAGTTAGCTTCTGATATCAGTGGTGATAGAGTTATGTCATTGAGGGATTTCATCAACATCAATTATTTTTAAAGTTTTTTTTTTTGGTTGGATTTTAGATGGACAGCATCATTAGAAGTTTTTGTTGGTAAGGAGATTAGTGGAGGGGATTAATTTATGAAGTGCTTAAAAAACGCTGTAAAATTTTTGAAGAATCTATTATCTCGTGTGAAAAGTTCGGATCAAGATGCAAAAGTGTGAATTTTGAATAATGTTTTTCTTACTTGAATACATAGATAATTCACCTATAAATAAGTAAGTACAAGAGAAAAAAAAAGAGGAAAGAAATCTTCCTACAATAAAGTAATTCCTATAATTATGAAATAAACATAAATACCAATAATTAAGGAATTACCTTTTTTATATTATGACTTAAATATAACAAGTATTATATAGAATTACAGTAAATAATAATGAGGAGCGTAATTCCACACTCCCCCTCAAGGTGGGTTGTACAGATTGTACATGCCCAACTTGTTGGTTAGCTCATCAAAACTGGACTTAGGGAGAGTCTTGGTGAGAATGTCTGCGGTTTGGTCTCTAGAAGGAGTATAGACCAATTCAATGATTCCATTGTTCACTTTCTCTGAAATGAAATTCCGATCAATCTCAATGTGTTTCGTTCGGTCATGATGAACATGATTCTTTGCGATACTGATTGCAGCTTGATTGTCACAGAACATCTTGATAGAATTTTCTCCCATAATTCCAAGCTCCTTGAGAAATCTTTTGATCCACATTTCTTCACAGATACCAAGTGTCAGTGCTCTGTATTCTGCTTTTGCACTACTCCGAGATACCACCGATTGCTTCTTGCTTCTCCATGTCACTAGATTTCCGCATACATAAGAGCAATACCCAAAGGTTGATCGTCGGGTGAATATACCTCCTGCCCAGTCAACATCAGTAAAGACTTCTATCTTTTGACTATCATTTCTTTTGAATAATAATCCTTTCCCAGGTGTCATCTTTGAGTATCTTAAGATACGGTTGACAGCTCCCATATGTTCCTCAGTAGGACAGTTCATGAATTGACTTACTATACTTACTGAAAAACTTATGTCTGGTCTGGTGTGAGATAAGTAAATAAGTCTTCCAACAAGTCACTGATATCGTCCTTTGTCGACATGTAAACTATCATTCTCCATTCCAATCTTTTTATACGGGTCTATTGGAGTGTCTATTGGTTTGCATCCAAGCATACCAGTTTCTTTCAATAGGTCCAATGTGTACTTCCTTTGAGTTACGGCTATCCCCATTTTGGGTCTTGCAACTTCCATTCCCAAGAAGAACTTCAAGTCTCCGAGGTCCTTGATTTCGAATTCATGGGCTAGAAACTTCTTCAGTTTTGTCAATTCTTCAGTGTGATCACCTGTAAGAATGATGTCATCAACATATACAATAAGTACAGCAATCTTCTTCTCGGATCTTTTTGTGAACATTGTATGATCAACCTGACTTTGAGTATAACCACACTTGATTACTGAATTGGTGAATCGGGCAAACCAAGCACGAGGAGATTGTTTGAGACCATACAGAGATTTCTGGAGCTTGCATACTTTGCCACTAGGGAAGGACCCTTCAAAACCAGGCGGTAAATCCATGTATACATCCTCTTCAAGATCTCCATTAAGGAATGCATTTTTGACATCAAGTTGCATAAGGGGTCAGTCTCGATTTGCTGCAATGGAGAGTAGGATTCTAATGGAGTTCAGTTTGGCTACTGGGACAAATGTCTCTTGGTAGTCAATTCCGTATGACCGAGTATAAACTTTTGCAACCAATCGGGCTTTTAACCGATCTATGCTTCCGTCTGACTTACATTTGATTGTAAATAACCACCTGCATCCTAGTGGTCTCGTATCCTTGGGCAAATCAGACACAATCCATGTTCCACTCTTTTCTAGTGCAGCAACTTCTTCATTCACAGCTTTTCTCCATTCCGGGTGTGAGAGAGCTTCCTGAATAGACTTTGGAACCTTTATGCTGTCAATCACAGTTACAAATGCATGATAGGGAGGAGATAACCTCTCATATGAAACAAATCGGGCAATAGGATGTTGAGTGCAAGGAACATCAGAATCATCTTTCACAGGCGGGGTAAGCTCATAATCACTAGTGTCTATAGATTCCGTAACTGAGTGAGTTTCATAGGGTTTTGGAGCTGGATTAGATTCTTCGACAGCAGCTGGAAGCGGTGTTAGGTTCTCTATTCTTTCAGCAGTTCTGTTTCGTCTTGTATAAACCCGAAGTTCCTGAGGAGTGGGTTGTGTAGACTGTGGATGTTGAATAGGAGATGGAAGAGGTTTGACAGTTGATGAGGGACCCGTGTCAGTTGGTAAAGGAACACAGGGCTGTTGTTCACTATGACTACTCTCCCCCTGAATGACAGGCCCTTGATAGTATAATTGATGCTAAAAAAAAAGGTGAAATTCATAGAATTATAGACCTTTTTAGTTGAAGAACAATAACACTTGTAGCTTTTCTTGTTGGTCGAATACCCTATGAATATGCATTTGACAGATTTGGGGTCTAATTTACTGCGGTGTTGTTTGTGAATATGAACAAAGACGGAGCAACCAAATAGTTTGGAGGGATAACTGAAGAGAGTGTATAGGTATTTGGAAAGGAGCGAAGGAGGACATCGATTGGACTACGAAAGCCCAGAATACGAGAGGGCATCCGATTTATGAGGTAGGCAGCGGTCAATGTTGTCTCGCCCCAATAACATTTAGGGACCGATGTGGTAAACATGAGACAGCAGACTACCTCCAACAAGTGGCGATTTTTCCACTCGGCAACCCCATTTTGTTGGGGAGTATCAACACACGTACTAAGGTGAAGGATGTCATGTTGAGTAAGAAAAGTTCCTAGGGAGTTGTTGAAAAAATCTCGTGCATTATCTGTTTTGAGAG